CTCTCTATTCTGTTCCATTGATCGATGTGTCTGTTTTTGTGCCAGTACCATGCTGTCTTGATGATGACAGCTTTGTAATAGAGCTTGAAGTCCGGAATTGTGATGCCACCGGCTTTGCTTTTCTTTTTCAATATTCCTCTGGCTATGCGGGGTCTTTTCTGGTTCCATACAAATTTTAGGATTATTTGTTCCATTTCTTTGAAAAAAGTGGATGGTATTTTGATGGGGATTGCATTGAATGTGTAGATTGCTCTAGGTAGCATTGACATCTTCACAATATTTGTTCTTCCAATCCATGAGCATGGAACGTTTTTCCATTTCTTTGTGTCTTCCTCAGTTTCTTTCATGAGTATTTTATAGTTTTCTGAGTACAGATCCTTTGTCTCTTTGGTTAGATTTATTCCTAGGTATCTTATGGTTTTGGGTGCAATTGTAAATGGGATCAACTCCTTAATTTCTCTTTCTTCTGTCTTGTTGTTGGTGTATAGGAATGCCACTGACTTCTGTGCATTGATTTTATATCCTGCCACTTTACTGAATTCCTGTATGAGTTCTAGCAGTTTTGGGGTGGAGTCTTTGGGGTTTTCCACATAAAGTATCATATCATCTGCAAAGAGTGAGAGTTTGACTTCTTCTTTGCCAATTTGGATGCCTTTGATTTCTTTTTGTTGTCTGATTGCTGTGGCTAGGACTTCCAATACTATGTTGAATAGCAGTGATGATAGTGGACATCCCTGCCGCGTTCCTGACCTTAGGGGGAAAGCTCTCAGTTTTTCCCCATTGAGAATAATATTTGCTGTAGGTTTTTCATAGATGGCTTTTATGATATTGAGGTATGTACCCTCTATCCCTATACTCTGAAGAGTTTTGATCAAGAAAGGATGCTGTACTTTGTCAAAAGCTTTTTCTGCATCTATTGAGAGGATCATATGATTCTTGTTCTTTCCTTTGGTAATGTACTGTATCACATTGATTGATTTGCGGATGTTGAACCAACCTTGCAGCCCAGGGATAAATCCCACTTGGTTATGGTGAATAATCCTTTTAATGTACTGTTGGATCCTATTGACTAGTATTTTGGTGAGAATTTTTGCATCCATGTTCATCAGGGATATTGGTCTGTAATTCTCCTTTTTGATGGGGTCTTTGTCTGGTTTTGGGATCAAGGTAATGCTGGCCTCATAAAATGAGTTTGGAAGTTTTCCTTCCGTTTCTATTTTTTGGAACAGTTTCAGAAGAATAGGTATTAATTCTTCTTGAAATGTTTGGTAGAATTCCCCTGGGAAGCCAGCTGGCCCTGGGCTTTTGTTTTTTGGGAGATTTTTGATGACTGCTTCAATTTCCTTAGTGGTTATAGGTCTGTTCAGGTTTTCTATTTCATCCTGGTTCAGTTTTGGTAGTTGATACATCTCTAGGAATGCATCCATCTCTTCCAGGTTATCTAATTTGCTTCTTCTGCCCATTTCTTGATTGGATTCTTTGTTCTTTGGGTGTTGAGTTTGATGAGTTCTTTATAGATTTTGGATACTAGCCCTTTATCTGATATGTCATTTGCAAATATCTTCTCCCATTCTGTCAGTTGTCTTTTGGTTTTGTTAACTGTTTCCTTTGCTTTGCAAAAGCTTTTTATCTTGATGAAGTCCCAAGAGTTCATTTTTGCCCTTGCTTCCCTTGCCTTTGGCGATGTTTCTAGGAAGAAGTTGCTTCGGCTGAGGTCAAAGAGGTTGTTGCCTGTGTTCTCCTTTAGGATTTTGATGGACTCCTGTCTCACATTGAGGTCTTTCAACCATTTGGAGTCTATTTTTGTGTGTGGTGTAAGAAAATGGTCCAGTTTCATTCTTCTGCATGTGGCTATCCAATTTTCCCAACACCATTTGTTGAAGAGACTGTCTTTGTTCCATTGGACATTCTTTCCTGCTTTGTCAAAGATGAGTTGACCATAGAGTTGAGGGTCCATTTCTGGGCTCTCTATTCTGTTCCATTGATCTATGTGTCTGTTTTTGTGCCAGTACCATGCTGTCTTGATGATGACAGCTTTGTAATAGAGCTGGAAGTCCGGAATTGTGATGCCGCCACCTTTGCGTTCTTTTTCAACATTCCTCTGGCTATGCGGGGTCTTTTCTGGTTCCATACAAATTTTAGGATTATTTGTTCCATTTCTTTGAAAAAAGTGGATGGTATTTTGATGGGGATTGCATTGAATGTGTAGATTGCTCTAGGTAGCATTGACATCTTCACAATATTTGTTCTTCCAGTCCATGAGCATGGAACGTTTTTCCATTTCTTTGTGTCTTCCTCAGTTTCTTTCATGAGTATTTTATAGTTTTCTGAGTAAAGATCCTTTGCCTTTTTGGTTAGATTTATTCCTAGGTATCTTATGGTTTTGGGTGCAATTGTAAATGGGATGGACTCCTTAATTTCTCTTTCTTCTGTCTTGTTGTTGGTGTATAGGAATGCCATTGATTTCTGTGCATTGATTTTATATCCTGCCACTTTACTGAATTCCTGTATGAGTTCTAGCAGATTTGGGGTGGAGTCTTTTGGGTTTTCCACATAAAGTATCATATCATCTGCAAAGAGTGAGAGTTTGACTTCTTCTTTGCCAATTTGGATGCCTTTGATTTCTTTTTGTTGTCTGATTGCTATGGCTAGGATTTCCAATACTATGTTGAATAGCAGTGGTGATAGTGGACATCCCTGCCGCATTCCTGACCTTAGGGGGAAAGCTCTCAGTTTTTCCCCATTGAGAATGATATTCGCTGTAGGTTTTTCATAGATGGCTTTTATGATATTGAGGTATGTACCCTCTATCCCTATACTCTGAAGAGTTTTGATCAAGAAAGGATGCTGTACTTTGTCAAAAGCTTTTTCTGCATCTATTGAGAGGATCATATGATTCTTGTTCTTTCCTTTGTTAATGTATTGTATCACACTGATTGATTTGCGGATGTTGAACCAACCTTGCAGCCCAGGGATAAATCCCACTTGGTCATGGTGAATAATCCTTTTAATGTACTGTTGGATCCTATAGGCTAGTATTTTGGTGAGAATTTTTGCGTCCATGTTCATCAGGGATATTGGTCTGTAATTCTCCTTTTTGATGGGGTCTTTGCCTGGTTTGGGGATCAAGGTAATGCTGGCCTCATAAAATGATCATGATTTTAAATTTTATAAAGGCTTAGCATGTCTGTCTCCCCTCTCATATACAGAAAATCATGCAGGACCCCTCACATTTCTTTAGTAATTCACACTATAGTTACTTCTCTTGTATCTAAATATAGGTTTAGGTTTTAAACAAACATGTGAATTTGAATGACAAATTGCTGAGACATACTTCATGCTTATCCTTACTTTGCCAGCTGAGATATTAGAGATCCTGAAGAGAGAAAATTTTCAACCAATATTGTCTTTGGAGAAGAAAAGAGTCTCAAAATGTTTACTTAGTAAAATATAAAAATATATGGTCAAGTATAGCACACAGGAAATTATAGCAACTGCATGCTCCAAAAACTAGGCTGGTCATCCTAATTCAGAGTTGATTTTCATATAAAGATGGCAAATACATCGCAAACATATTAACTACTAACTTTCTCTCTTCTTACTAACTCTCCACCCAATTGATAAATTGACACCAGAAATCAAACCTCTTTATTATCCCTATTTTAAAGACTTGCCTGGATGAAATCTGACTGAGCTCGCACTGCCATGCCTTTCAGGAGCTTGCCTGAACTTTCAACAAAATTACAGCTATATACCATATGATCCAGCAATTGCACTACTGGGTATTTACCCCAAAGATACAAAAGTAGGGATCCAAAAGGGTACGTGCACCCTGATGTTTATAGCAGCAATGTGCACAATAGCCAAACTGTGGAAAGAGCCAAGATGTCCATCGACAGATGAACGGATAAAGAAGATGTGGTATGTATATACAATAGAATATTATGCAGCCATCAAAAGGAATGAGATCTTGCCATTTGCAACGACGTGGATGAACTGGAGGGTATTATGTTGAGCGAAATAAGTCAAACAGAGAAAGACATGCATCATATGACCTCACTGATATAAGGAATTCTTAATCACAGGAAACAAACTGAGGGTTGCTGGAATGGGGGGTGGGGTGGGAGGGATGGGGTGACTTGGGTGATAGACACTGGGGAGGGTATGTGCTCTGGTAAGCGCTGTGAATTGTGCAAGACTGTTGAATCTCAGATCTGTACCTCTGAAACAAATAATGCAATATATGTTAAGAAAAAAAAAAAAAAGAAGAAGAAGAATATAGCAGGAGGTGAAGAATGAAGGGGGGAAATCGGAGTGGGAGAGAAACCATGAGAGACGATGGACTCTGAAAAACAAACAGGGTTCTGGAGGGGAGGGGGGTGGGAGGATGGGTTGGCCTGGTGGTGGGTATTGAGGAGGGCACATTCTGCATGGAGCACTGGGTGTTATGCACAAACAATGAATCATGGAACACTATATGTAAAACTAATGATGTAATGTAGGGAATTAACATAAGAATAAAAAAAATTTACAGCTATAATAATGAAGAAATAAATTTGCCCAGAGTTTACTTGAAACCTTTAATCTTACCTAGGTAATTCCGAAGCTCTAAGTAAATGAAAATCGATACCTCCAAATACACACAGACACACAGACACATAGACACACACACACACACACACAACACATATGCACATACAAATACTTTCCAGGGACAACCAAGGTAGAGGCAATTTTGGATCTAATACCAAAGGGACACACATATTCAAGAACTTTCAGCCTTTCAAATTCAGCTGAGACTCAAAGAAAGTAAAAATATTCCAGCCCTCTTTTCCTTAACACAAACTACAACATTTGTAGTTTCAACTGAAATTAAACCTCAACTTTCAAATCTGTCATCCTGTATAAACTCTAGAAAAAGTAACACTGAATGATTGAGAGGGCAGGACTATACAAAAGCTATTTACACAGAGACACTAAAAAAAGGAGCCGGCACTTACTTGGCACAAACCACTGATGCACATATCCAAAGATTCTGTGTAGCAACGGGTCCCATCTAAGACTTTAGGTGCTAGTTCCACAACTAGGGTTGTTCCTTTGGCCTGGCATTTGAGTGAACATGGGTTGTCGGGGTCATTAGACACAGGGAGCCATTCATAAAACTGGCCATGGTGCTTGACATCATTGTGAGCGGAGCATTGCTGAGCCCGGAAGTCGCCTGCTTCTGGTGGGCAGTCCTGGAGAAGAGAGGTGGGAGGGACACACAGGTGAAAAGGGCAGCCCAAACAGAAAACAGTGTGTGCAGTATGTGGTCTGTCAAAGTTTTAGAAAACAACACATATGTCCTGGCTGTTACAGATGGACACTCCCATATCATCTGAGAGGTCATATGATTCTTTGGCCTTGAAAAACATAAAGCTTCGAGAAAGTAATCACCTGGAAATATATTTTTGGATTTAAGCTAAATGGAGAAGTAATCAACTTGAGATCGACCTGATGGATATTGGTCGGGAAAGTTGTCACCCTGAAATCTATTTTCTGAAAGATGTTGATTGATCCATGGATCCCCCCACAATGAAATACCATTTCAATTTCCTGGTAACTTCAGCAGAACTTACTGAAGTCAGAGGGCTAGTCAAAAAACATGTCTGTTGCTTTCAGTTCTAATAATGAGAGCTAAGACAATATTGTGGCAGTTTGCAGCACAAAGTTGTGATAATTTCATTCAAACCTTTTTTGTGGAGTTTATAAGTTTTTCTAAAACTTAGGCTGCAGAGTATCTAGAATTAAATATGGGGAAGAAAGAAAGAGAAAAGAGCATTTATATCTGAATTTCCTTAGCTTACGGCAACACAGCAGAGTGGAAAGGTTTGGATTTCTCAGATGGGAGCAAGGCTACGATACAGTGGGTCTCTCTGAGACTAGGTTTCCTTTTGTTTAAACAGAAGCAATAATACTAAGCCCTCAAGGTCACTGTGAGAATTTCAGGGGCTTATGTCAGCCAAATACTGGCACAAGGAAGACAGTGCATGGTAGCTATTACTATGATTATTCAATGAAGCCACTGAAGAGAAAAAGCTGGAGAATTATGAGATCCTCTGAATTTGAATTTTAAATCACATTGGCAGAGACCAGTGGAAAATAAGAATGTTTTAAATGTATATCTTATAGAGGGCATTTTAAAATTAAGACTATAACTCATGGCTATTATCTAAAACACGATACATTTTAGTGAAAGCAAATGATATTCAACTTTAAAAAGGCAAGAATCACCTATCCCTCGGAAAGGCTTATGGATATATTTATTTCATTCTCCATGTGTTCAGATTAGGATTTAGTATGGAAGATTATAGAATATCCATTTGTTGGGGGCGCCTGCATGGCTCAATTAAGCATCTGCCTTCAGCCTTCAGGTCATGACCCCAGGGTCCTGGGATAGAGCCCCGCTTTGGGCTTCCTGCTCAGCGGGTCTGCTTCTTCCTCCTCCTCTGTCCCTCCCCCATGCTGGTGCTTTCTCTTTTTCTCTTTCTCAGATAAATAAATAAAATCTAAAAAAAAAAAAAAAAAAAGGATATCCATTTGTTGAAAGGCTTTTACTATAATTTTTAAAAATCTCAAATAGGGGTTTGCATGTGGCCTTTAGCAGGTCTTGGTTACCACATCATCATTTTTGAGGATTCTTCTTATACAAAGTTTCTTTCTCTGAAATCTCTTTACATTTAAAGAAGCATTGTGAGACTAGCATTACTCTATTTCATAAAATGGAATTCCTGACTCTTTTTTCAAACTTCAGTGGTACTCTTAAGTAGCATATAAGGTTTTAATATTTTGAGCAGCATAAATTCTTTCTAGGCAAGATGGTGGATAAACACTTAAGCACTTATTTAAGATGAACACAAAATAGCTTAAAATGCTATATGAAATCTCAAAGGTATTTTACTTATAGTATTATATATGTTCTTGGAGTGAATAAAACATAGTATTAAAGAAAAAATAATTTATATAATATATAAAATTTGCTAATTTTTGCTGTTTCACTTAACATATAAGTGCCATATATATACCAAAAATATATAGGTATAGACACATAGGTACCCAATGAAACTTAAGTGATTTCAAATATTGTCTGAGAAAAGTATAAAGTATAAAATCATTACTTATTAATTTTGTAAATGATAGGCTACAATTTAAAAAATTTTTAAGTTCTATCAATTAATAAGCATGTTATACTTTGTCTCTTGTCTTTGTTCCTTGTGAGAAATAAAACAAAAACCACACCCTACAAAACTATGCTATGAAACACAAAACAGGTAAGTTGTATGACTGTAACACAAATTGTCTGAACTTAAATGTTTTAATGCTAGCTCCTTTCAGACCATGTGTTCCAAAATAAAAGCAAAAACGGATTTTAACAGTCACTCTTCATGGGCTCACGTTAAAAACAAGACCACAACTTGTTTACAAATCCTACCAGTCTTTGCTTAGACCTCACTCACTAGCTTCTGTCCTGAGATAACCCTATGACTGAACATTGCCCCCCAGTCTACACATCCTCTTCCTAAACTTCCCCCATTTGAGATACAACAGAGACTGTTAATGAAACCTGCTCTCTATGATCAACGAGATTCCCTGGTGGCCACTGCATGTGAGCTCCCATAGCAGAACTGATAGTTTAGTTAATAATGTTTATTTTATTTTATTTTTATTTATTTACTTTTTGAGAGTGAGAGAGCACGAGTGGGGGAGGGACAGAGGGAGAGAGAATCTCAAGCAGACTCCCTGCTGAGTGCAGAACCCAACAGGGGACTTGATCTCATGACCCTGAGATCATGACCTGAGCTGAATTCAAGAGTCGAACGCTCGACTGAGCCACCCAGGTGTCCCTTATTAATTATGTTTAAATTAAGTGTTTTCAGTTGCATAATATCTGCCATCCCAAGAATCACTTGATTTCTCAGCAGTACAAAAGAAATATTGAGGTGGGCTCAAGAAATCACACTGTTGGGGAAATTGTTTAGAATGGTCACAAGCCCTTCTCATAATTAACCTTTACCTCTTTTTTCTAAAAATGAATCAGCTGTAAGGGAATTACAGGGTCAGGCTGAATCATCTCTGCATTAAAGTAATGAGGGTAATATATAATTAAGAGACCCCTTAGTATGAACCAGAGATAATTTTCTGCATTTATCCAATTCCGAGAAGAGTGTCAGTTATGTTTTTAAATTGATGTTACCTCATCTGCAGTCTCTTAGGGTCCCTTCTATTCAACCAAATGTGTTGAGTCTTCCCATCTTTACTAAATAAATAAGACTCAAAGGCATTCAAAGTTAAAATAAGTAAAAAGTTAAAATATTAACACTTTTAGGTTTTCTTTTCTGTGATGAAAACAGTAAACAGAGAATCAAGGAGCAGACTGATGTTCCTATTCTCAACTCACCTGTATCTAATCGCTGCAAGTGTATCTGTTGGAGGTTTTGTGAACTTTCACAACTGGAGAAATGTCTCTAAGACTAATAATGCTTGGGAATACCTTTACTCACTTTTATCATTACTGTCTTTTCTTCCACCCATATTTCTGTAGGGGTGGGAAAATACATTTTGCTAAATTGAGAATGTACTTAAAACCTGGAATTGAGAGTTGGAAACTGGAACTTGAACCTTTTTAACGTTTTAGTTTATTTGTACTTGGCAAAATGCAACTTCCTGTTTTAAGAAAAAGGACTTAAGAGGACTTATAAAACAGGTTCAGAAAGATTCTTGGATATCAAATAGCTCTTACAAAATAACATTTTGATGATTTAAGTGTAAATGAATCAGAAACATATGAATCAAATTTCCCTTGAAATACACATGTTTAAAAATTAAGGGAAGGAGGATTTGGCAAAAGCTTCTTTGTTGAACCCAAAACATCTCAAGCATAGTTCAAGACCCTCATTGAACCCCTGATATATCTGGGATCACCCAGCTGCAGGAGTGAAAACTCAAGCAAGGTCATCATAGCTTCTTGTCCCACCAGGATGATCATAATAATTGCAACAGAACAGCTCTCATTTGCATAGAGATTCACCATGTACAAAGTTTTTAATTATAATTTGGTTCATGAGACCACTATCCTTCCTAATCCTCCTAGAAATCAGATTTAGAAACTGATGCCCTAATTGCTTTGAAAAATATTTCGTATCTTATCCTGGGCATCACCTTCAAAATATTAGCTTCTGGAGAGATGCCTTATGATACCACATGTCATCAGTTCTGCCCACGAGACGTGGTTTTCCTTAGGTTATACTGAATGTAGAATGTACTGGATATATACAATGTGATTTTGGTTCTCATAAAATCTTAGTGGTAGGAATCATGAGTTTTCAGTGGGGATAATTAAAACGAAGAAGAAAACAAATGAATTATTTATGTATTTATGCACTGAATTATTTATATATTTATGCACTGAACCTCCCTCATAGGTAGTAATGATGAAAACAATTAAGATTATTGAAAAGTCTAGTGGCTATTTGAACTAAACACATCCCTCACCAAGAACCTGGCAAAAAACATGGTGTAGGAAGGATGCATTGGATTAAAGGTCCCCAACTTCCAGCCTCTCTTATGTCTCTAGAAACACCATCAAGTAGAAATGGAGCAAGAAAGAGCAATCTAACACTTTCCCTGGCCTTCTATTCTCAACTAACTGTAATATGCCTGTGGATTGACAACTCTGTGTCAGGTTACTGACTTAGGACTTCCTCACTCTGAAAAAAAAATGTATTCTATTTAAAATAGTCAGATGATCCCATGAATTACTGTATTTAGCCATTAATACAATATAATAGTTTTTCTCTCCAATTTTTAAGCACTCGATCTGAACGGCAACAGAATTTTCTTTAAAAGCACAGAAATAAAATCTGACTTTTTATTTGCTCCCATTATAATTCATAAAGTCCGTGGAGTTCTGCCATATATGAATCCAATTCAAAACACTTTTGGGTTAATCAACTAGCCAGTGGGAAAGATAAGATGGATCCCAGATGTCCCCTGATGCTGAGAGGTGGATCAGATTACATTGTGGGATAAAAGAGTGTTAGGCTTTCCAGAGTTTACTCACTGGGTGAAATGTAAAAGATGATATCTCAGCAGCGAAGGTGGGAGCATCTGAAAGGCCTTTAAAATGGTTTTGAAAAAAATATACAGAAAATAGATTCGGGGTCAGGAGAAGCATGCCTTTTTCTTTATTTTCTCTCTT